AATGGTACCTATGCATACCCAAATGTCCTAGTGTTTCCATTTGGGTTTTTTGCATAAATGCCAGGTACAGTATTTTAATATTTTGCATTGTGCATAGATTAAGCTGAAAAGGCTTTTAATAAGAAAATGGGGAAGTGATTGTGCAATTTTCTCTCTCTCTTACAATGGTATGCTATTATTGTACCATCTTTAAAATGTGTATGCGAAACTGTAATCTTATGTATACTGTATTTAGAAAGGAATAAGCCCTACTGGAATTAACAGGACTTATTGGCAAACACAAAGTTGTCTGCATGAAATTCTTGCTTTAATGTTTCTTGTTCTGCAATGACTTTAAACTAATATTTTGCCTGTCTACCTATTACAGAGTCGAAAATGAGGCAACCATTTTATCTGTTTCAATATGCCTTTCTTTCATTTTCTGGGGGGCGGGGAACTATGAAATTCCAAAAATATGTGTGTACGGTTAACTTGAAAAGAAGCCTTGAAAATGTCAATATTGTGCTTCCTATATCATAAGAGAAATATACCTTGGTTCACGTTCCCAGACATTCCACTTGAGAACAGAGTTTTCTTTATGACTTGTATAGCAGACGTGCAGTGCTTGGCATGCACTGTACATAAGTTTTGGGATTTTGTAAGGATTTAGAGCCTTAAGGTAATGTTATTTATTTCTATTTGCCCCCAAACATAATCCCACCCACTTTTTCTAGCCAACTTGTTAGAATATCTTAAGCCAGGCTCAACCTATATATCATCAAATGTCTCTTAACATCTGAACTTGAATGTCAGAATCTTCTGAAACTCATTTGCTGGTCCATGAGAAGGAGAGGTACCAAAAAAAAGAGAGAGAAAATAGTCTTGCGTGTGGTCTTTCCGTGACATGTAGCACCACAAGATTCTCAGTGACTTGTCTTCCCCAGCTCCAGAAGGAGCCACAGAGAACCAAGCCGTAGGGAGACTGATGAGTTGGGTTTTCATGGTTGCCCTGCCTTTGTGATATTGCCACTTGTCACCTGCATCACTCATCCTATATGGCAGTGGTCCTCAACCTTGGGCCTCCAGAGGTTCTTGGACTTCAACTCCCAGAAATCCTAGCCAGCAGAGGTGGTGGTGAAGGCTTCTGGGAGTTGCAGTCCAAGAACATCTGGAGGCTCAGGGTTGAGGAACACTGCTATACGGGATTCCAGTCAGTGACTTAGCTGATCCTGCAGGTTCTTGATGTTTCCAAACGAGCCAATCCCGTGAATGGTTTGGAAACAGTGAGGAGTCAAAATACTCATCAATCTTCTCCCTTTGGTTCAGGCAACTCGGGAGGGCTCCTTGAAACTGGGAGGGAGATAATGCCCAACCATGCTGTTAGAGTGGGTGAAGAGAGAAACAGCAGAATAGGATATGCTTAGAACTGCCGAGCTGGAAGAGGACCCTAGGGAATCTTGGAGGCGAGAAGGCACAGTGGGGAATCGAACTCACAACCTCTGGCTCTGCAGCGGAATGCAAACAAGCCTTTTCTATTCTACAGACGCTCGATGCAGAAATAAAAATCTCCTCGTTGAGATCTGCAGTTTAGTTTGATTTATGCACACCTTCCTTCCTAAGCAAAATCCCCATTTTGGGGTGGGTGGGTGTGTTTGTGTGTGTTTGTGTGTGTGTGTGAGAGAGAGAGTGTGTGGGGGGGGGGGAGAGAGATTTGGTGTATGGTTGCATTGGTAACAATCTGTAGTTGAGACCCAACAAGATTGCCCTTGCATCCAGGCTTTGGTACCCCAGTCCTGGCTATGACACCAGCTGGCCAGCATTAGCCCTATTTTAGGATCAGTGCTGAGATCATGGGAATAACCTCGGTTAACCTTTAACATTGAAATTAGATTGAGCAGTGCTACACCGTGATTAAAGCGAGGCTCTCATAGGAGGAGAAAGTCTTTGCAAAGGCATTAATAATTTCTGTATGAGACATGGGTGAACATTACATTTAGTACCAAGGGAATGGATGGAAGCTGCCCTAAAGGGAGAGAAAGAAGGCAGGAACAAGAGAAAGAGGGATAGAGGAGACCTGGAACTTTCTTCTTCTTTTTTTGGACTATATGTCCAAAAAAAGACCCCAACACTCCCCCACCAAGAGACGGAGCTGACACAGGTTATTGCTTCATTCAGCTTTTACTTTAGGAACATTTAGAGAAGTATTTCCAACATCAAACTGGTTGACTTCCTCTTCCTTCTGTAAGGGATAGAGGAAGGGGATTCAAAGCTTGTAACACAAGAGTTTCCAGGTTCCCAAGCCTCTCTGATTCTCACCTTTAAAGTCGACCACTTCATAGGGTTCTGGAGGTTACGGCAACTGCAACAAGAGCAGTGTTACCACTCCCCATCCTTCTCTCTCTCTCTCTGGATGGTTTCTCAGTGGATGCCGTTCCCCACTACAGTATCTCATGAGTGGGGGTCTCTTGTCTCTCCGCTGAGCCTTCCATGTCCTCTCGCTTTTCCCTCTCTGTCCTTGCTCTCTACTCCTTTATCTTCCTGCTCCACTCCTTACTTTCTCTCCCCCCCCCCCAAATAGGAAGGCCTTCTGGGGGGGCAGGAGTTCCTAAACCTTGCTGCCTCTTCTCCCGGCATCATTAGTCTCTCCCACTTCTGGGTCCACGTAGTCTCCAATCCAGACCCACTCTATCCCTCGGGCAAAGTTTTCTTCTCCTTCCTTCCTTGCCTTTATTCCCGCTGCTTCTACCTTTCTTTCTCTGCCCTCCTGTCACTTTCCCCCTTATAACTCCTGCCGTTTTCCCCACGTTTCTCTTTTCCAAATGTACCTCCTTTTTTCTCTCTCTCCTTCCTCCCTCTCTGCTTTTCCGCCTCCTCATGCTCTCCTTCTCCTTTTCTTCTTTCCTACCTCCCGCAGCTCGGGGGTCTGTGCTTCCTTCCCTTTTCCAAGGCAGAGGGGGAAGCACTTGGGTGGGTTTGACTGTTCTTTAGGTCCCAGATTTCCCCCTGGCTAGCGTACGCAGTGGCCACACTGGCTGGGGATCCTGGAAGTTCCCATCTACAGAAATACCTTTGCCAACTTGGGAGATGCAACAGATGGGTGTTTCAAGGAAGATTTGAAAGGATGTGTGAGAGCCAGAAGGAAAGAGAGCTGGACGGATCAGCTTGCAGACAGGGAGAAAAGGAGACGGGGAAACCTGTTTTGGCATTGCTTGGCCCTTTTGGCCATGGCGTGTCTTCCATGCCATGTTTTCATATGCATTTGCTGCACTTGTTAATGAGATGGTAATGAAGCAGCATCTTAATAAGCCCTAAACAATACATGCCTGTGAAAGCAATAAAATGTGCCAAGTAAGCTTCCTTTTAGGCTGACTTTTAGTGCAATGGCATTTAAAGCAATTAGATTATTTATATATCTCTGAAGAAGTTTGTTTGCTCCTTAATTTCCTGTTTCTGAAGGATGGCTTCCTTTTGCTTTGGCTCTTGGCAGTTTACTCTGGCTGTACATAGTAAAGGCACGGAAGGCCAGCAGGCTCATCCTCGCTGGCCCTCTTCTTTGCCCATCCACATGTTTGATGCAGATGTGAAGTGGGTTGCCCATGTGTGGCAGTGCGGACGCTCCCCCACGCAGTTGGGAACCCCCTAATCTGAGAGAGTTCCTGATCACAGCACCCACTTCAGATTAGTTTTCTAAATGTGGCTTTGTTGTCCATGTTTATGTAATTTGTGGGTTGGGTTAGATTTGGAGAGAGAATTCGTTTCTTGTGTGTGTATTTGTGTTGTGTTGTGTTGTGTTTAGTTTGCTTTGGAACAGTAGCTTTCCAGCAGTATATGTGGGGGTGGAGCAGGGTGTTTGCTTTCCCATGTTTTATTAGTGTTTCATTCTATGAAATCAATATTTTGCTGTGCTTCATGCAGTCAGGTTTGTGGTTTGGCATTTGGGATTCAAAGCCAGTCATTAATTACCATTGGATTCTGCCTTGACCATGGTTTCATGGGCAAGTGACTTTGTCTTTTGTAAGAAGGCCCCAAGAACAGGCATTGGGCAGAGGTACCAACAGCCATTTCTCAGCTTCCCAAATGCACCAGCTGACCCATAGAAGTTGGCACTCCCTGCTTTCGAACGAAGCTTCTTTCACTTCTCCATTTGTATAGTAAAAACATTTTTTAAAAAAAAAATGGAAACCAGTATGTTTTAGCTGTTAGAGCAGACTGTCTGTCTGTCTGTTTATATTCTGCCTTTCTTCTTAAGGGGACCCAAGATGGCTTACCTTATTAAAGAGAAACTATATTTAAGAAGATTTATTCATTCGTTTGTTTGTTTGTTCGTTCATTCATTCATTCATTGCACTTTTATAAACACCTTTATTAAAATAGTAAACAAATATGGTGCAGAAAACAAATTTAAAAGCAGCAAGGCATAAACAATCCCGTTTTGTTAAAAAAGAAAAAAGAAACACTCTCAGGCAGCCAGTCACTGAGGGAAAAGCCTGCCTGAAGAGAAAGGTCTTTGCCCTTTTTCCCCCACTTTCTTGCTTAGGAAATGCTGAAACTACTGGATGGAAAAATACCTTGGTTTAAATTACTCTTGGTTTTTAATGGCTGAAATGAAGCTGTGGAATGTTAGCCCATTCCGGCAATGCTCAAATGAATGGCAGGGAGCATTGATACCATCCTTGTAAGCTCAGGGCAGATGCCGTTTGGAGGAGAACACCCCGGGGGAAGAAAATACACCTTTGCAGTTTCCTCAAAAATATTGAAAGGGAAACAAAAGGGAGGAAGTAGCATCATGAATGAAAGCACTTTTTAGTCATGTAGAGAGAGCTCTCACTCTTGTTGTATACAAATCAGAGTTGACCAGTATTTTGTTCTTGCGGTGGCGGCCATCGCATGACCAACTTGGTCTAGCTTAACTTTCAAAAGCTAATATATATAGTTTGCATTAAAAAAAAGAAAACTGTTAAAATTCTTTCTAATCTGGATTCTTTCCTTCCCTTTTTTTTTTCCTTCTTCTTCTTCTCTAGCAATTATTGTGTACAGGTTACCTTGGACCTGGAAATGCAGCAAGTTCCTGATGAAATTAATCCATGCTGGGTTAAACACCATTGCTCTGATACTTGCAATTATTTCTCTGGTGGCTGTTTTTGATTTCCATAATCACAAGAATATTCCCAACATGTACAGCCTTCACAGCTGGATTGGATTGACTGCTGTCATTCTTTATTCTGTCCAGGTCAGAGACTATTTGTAAACAGTATTTTGAGTAGAATAAGAGGACTTGTTCTTTCTTTAATAACAATGCACTCTCACAACTGAAGGTCCTCTGTGTGGATTACTTACCATACCTCAAACACAAAATTTTACACCCCAATAAGCTGAATTCCATGATCTCCGTAAACAGGGGGGGAAATATCTTTATCCAGACTGGTGTCTATGGTTGGTTTTCTGATCTTCAAGAACAACACTTGCCTTATTTTCCTGGAAATCAGAAAACGGAAATACGAAGAGTTTGCCAGCATCCTGGATTTGACACTATGAGATACTAGCAAGTTGGAAAATAAAGGATGGCTGTTTAAATTTGATAAAGTTCCATGTTTTCTTTAAATCTGTGTGTCTGTTCAGATGTAAAGTAGAGGTGGGTGGTGATCAAAATGATTATGTATTATGGCAACATACTAAAGGGAAAGTGTAATCCTGTTAAGGGATGGGTATGTCTGAAAAGACAGTACTGTATAAAAGGAGAAGACAACCTGAGGTTTGCCAGATGTTTTGAATTGTAACTCCTGTAAGTCCTAGCTAGCATAGCCAATTGGCGATTTATAATCCAAAGTATGTGGAGCCTGACCAATTTTGGCCCTCATAGAAGATAAAGAGCTTGCCAGCACTGTCTCTTAAAATGGACTTGTTTATCCCCGAGATGAATTACCTGCAGAAGACTGCCCCTTTTTTTCTCATGTTGCAGCTGGCTCCTTGGGTTGATGATACACACAAGGAATGCATCAGCGATTTTAGCTGACGAGGGCTTTATTTATTTGAGCCAGGATGACATTGTCAGGAGATTGAGCTGAGCAGAGAATTCTGGGGACAATTACTTCCTAACCGCTCTTCCTTTCTTGTTGGTCAAACAGCTTACTGAGAAAGTTAAGTAACAGAAGAAACTGGTCTTATGTTACTTAAGCAGGACAGGCCTTGCCCTGCTCTTCAAATTCTTTCAGTTTGTTTTTCTTTCAAAGATCCTGGAATGAAAGCCACAGCTGGCCTCTGTTGTGTAAGATGATTAAGCATTTGTGTGGAACCAACAGGGCTTTAAAAGTGGACATGATGTGTTTTCGTAACATTCATGTTTGTATGAGATAATACTGTTCTCCTACATAATACTGTTCTCCTAAACTCCTGCTAGGGAGTTAAGACATTTAATCTTAAAGCTTATTATCCGAAGGTTATAATAAATGTAAACATTGTTTTTTGCCTCACCCAAAAGTACTTTCTCACACCAAAACCCTGTTACTTATTGTAGTAAGTCACAACAAGAGTAGGCCCATGGAGCCAGTGGTGATTTGGTGAGTCACGTCTTCCATAAATTCCGTTAATTCAGTAGGTCTACTCTAGTGGTGATTTGCTATGCTAAGCCACAGGATTTCAACCATTGTGTATTATGGAGGTTTTCAACATCCACCCCCACCCCCCAAATCTTGTTGGATAAACTTTGATATTTCCATCCTTTGCCATTCGGTATAATTAAAATGACAAGTTAAGGGGAAATTAAAAAATGGATTCTGTGGTTTCTGTTGTCATCGTTCAGATTACTTTGCAGAATTTCTTCACCTGGGAACTTTTCTACCAGTATAGGCTAAGTTGCTTTTCAGATATTGTCCTTATTTTGGTACAAACTCAGTGGCCTTTTTGACAGAAGCACGTCAGTCCTTTATACTGTATGGCCACCTTCCATAACCTGGTGCCCTCTAAATGACTAGGATTACAACCTCCCTCTTCCACAGCTAACTTGGCCACGGAGGATACCACATTGCAAGAGCCTATTTATTGTATACGGGACTAGCACTGCCTGGTTATTATTTATTTATTTATTTTATTTATTTATTTAATTTATATGCCGCCCACACTATCCAAAGGTCTCTGGGCGGCTTACAGCAGCAGTGAGTAGACCAGTTGTTTCAAGAGCCTACTGTCCAGTAGAGTTACGTTTTACAATAAACGGATTGAAAGAATCCCATAAAGATTCAGTTTGACCAAAAAAGATATGAAGAGTTTGGGAGAATGATACTGGGTTAGAATTTACCTGCAGGTTTGACTCTGTTAGACCTTGGCTTAGTGAAGCCTTGTAGCAGCATCTACCGTACTACTTGTAATTGTTCTCCCCTTCACACAATTATTTACCTTGCTTTATTATGTACAGTATTAGTACATGTGCCTGCTTATACCCAGGTTGAAACTCCATTTGCGCTGTCTCTTTGATTCCCCTCCCATAGATTCTTTCTTTTGCCCTGTTTTCCACACTCCAGCCTGGTACTCCTGCAGCTTATACTGGCTTAACAGAAGAGACCAACAAATGCTTACAATGTGGCACTTCTAAAAGCTAATGATCAGCAAGCCCAGCTGGGGCTTTGGTGTCATGCATCTGCAAGCTGCTGCTAACTTACAGCAACCCTAATCAGGCTTTTCAGATAAGGGGTGGTTTACCATTGCCATCCCCTGTGGGTTTTCATGGCTGAGAAGGGATTGGGACCCAAATCTCCTGAGTCCTAGTCTGGCACGACATGACACTGGCCCTTACAACTGATACAACCAGTGGGTTTCTTTCAGTTAGGGAGCTCAGTGTTATCCATGCTAAATCTTGTGTTTCTAAGGGTTACTGTTTTGGAGATCGTTGGAATACACCAACCAACACAAAGGGCTCAGGGTGAGCAGATTTTGAGATATAACCCACCCAGTTATTTAGTAAACAACTATTGCAAAATATCGTAATTCTAGCCCTTGATGTGTTTTGGAGGCCATTACAAACACACAAACTAACTTTCAGAAATATTTATCAGTAGGGATGGGCGCGAACTGCCATTTTGGTGGTTCACCATGGTTCACTCTTTGGACACCCAAGTGTTCTGTGGGCACCCAAGTGTTCAGCTTTCCTCCCCCACTTCCAGCCTGCGCCCACTCAGAGGATGAGGCCCAGCAGGGAAGCCAAGGGTGCCCACGGAGCAGCTGTGCATCTGAAGAACAAACCATTATGATCCGCCAAACTGGCCGTTTGTGCCCATCTCTAGCAGGTTACTGTTAGTCAGTTGAGGGTGGGTCCAACCTGCACATAATCTGACTTTGTCTTTTACCCTTCTGGCTCTCTCTTGTTTGTTTCTCTACTCTGCACCAAATCTCTTGCATTGCTTGTCCTTCTGGCTTCACGTTTGTAATAATGGTACCTTTCCTCCTTTTACCTGTACATGTATAAAATGATTCACCTGAGGGTAGCCATTCAGGCCACTGAAAGTGGCCCTGTTATGTTTATGCAGCAATATTGATCTATATAAGATGCTGTGGCTTCCTTTGCTTGAAATGGCATTTCCAGGTCACACAACATTATCTGTGTTTAGCTTGTTCTAGGTTTTGCCATCTTCCTGCTCCCTTTTGCTCCTGCTTCTCTCCGAGCGACTGTCATGCCAATACATGTCTATTCAGGCCTGGCCCTCTTTGGAACAGTGATTGCCACCGCACTCATGGGAATTACAGAAAAACTTATTTTTGCTTTGTAAGTATTCTTCAATTTCACTGTTAACATATTTTTTTTCATGTTTTTAGTCATCCACTTACTGAAACTTTCTTCCCCACCAGAAAAAAACCTCCCTACAGCAGTTTGCCAGAAGAAGGTGTTTTTGTCAATACTCTTGGGGTGCTGATCGTTGTCTTTGGGGCTGTCATTTTGTGGATGGCAACGAGGCCCTCCTGGAAGCGCCCCCCAGAACAGAGCACAAAAACCCAGCAGAGAAATGGGGGGATGCTGGATGGGAACGAAGAGGGGTCCACAATGACCGATTGCAGCAACACAGATAAGTCTGACGTGGAGTTCAACAGCGAGGCCTCCTCTAGGAAACGAAGTCCCAAACTTGACGAAGCTGGACAGCGGTCAACAATGTAAAACAGCTGATCATCTCACAGTACCGGAAGGGCTAATTTCTCCTCAGTTCTGTTCAGCACAATATATACAGCACACACACATACATATTGCTTGCTTAATGCTTTTAGGGTTTTCTGGGTAATTGGTGCAATTTGGTAAGGGCTCGAATGCTGGAAGAACCTGTGCTTCTTGCTTCACTCTTATCACTTCATCTTTTGATCACAAGAAATGGGATTGGAATGAAATGTGTTCAGCTTTCCACTTTTGTGGGTCTGAGGTCTTAAGCAAGGGCAGGTGGATTTTTAGGGGGGGACGATTGGTTTCCAATGGTAATTCCATAGAATTAATAAATCTTAAATTGTCTCACAAATTCCTGTAGTTTGTCTTACAGTGCAGGATGTGAACAAATTAGTAGAGAAAAGGATGTTGGGTGTGGTGGGGGGAAGAAGAATTGGCAGGGTAAGGGAGGAAGAAACACATAACACTGCATAAAGATTACTCTCTCCTCCCCCTCCCAATTATATATGTTTCTACCACTGTTGCTCAGATCTTTTTCTATTGGCCAAAATCCTACTGGTATTCACATAAGATGGATGCAATGTGCCATAGCTAATTGATGCTAAATGGCGAAGGTGCCTCTGTGATTGTGTTTGTTTAGTGCTATTATGGGTTATGCAACCTCTGTGTTTTGATCTTTCTTTTTGGAGTGTCAGGTGGCAACTCTCTGCTTGTGTTCCTTTCTACACTAGCACACCAAGTTTATTATGGTATGTGTGGTTCAAAGGACTGAATAGAGCCGAATACTTAAAGTGCAGCCTCTAAATACAGAATTTGCCATCTGGTTCTTTTTGGTGGCACCAGAATAAAACAGTGTAGAATATTCCACAGAAGAGTAAACTCTTGTGATTCTATTGCAGGCAACAATCTGTGAAGGTTGCATTGTGCTGTCTTTAGAAATTCTTTAAGCTAAACAACAACACAATGATCTGATTGCTGCTTACAGTCAGACTACTAAATTATTTCTTTAAAGATTTCTTTTTTTGATGACATCAACCTGAAGATGGAAGGGGGCAGGGTTGACTCTCTATAGAAAGCATGGGGTATGTGTGGAGAGGGAATTATTTGTTCCAAATATGTTCTAAACAGATTTAAGTCTACATATTTTAGCGAACATTATGTCAAAGGTGGAGAAACTCTCTCAGTTCTAAGTGATGCTAAATTGTTAAGATCTCAGACCTGATTTTCTTAACGTACTTTTTTTTTTAATGTGCAATTTGGCATGGAGCATACCAGTGAGAATGTAGATCTGTTTGTCAGATGTTATATCACCAGCACCATTACCTGCAGGTAAACATGGTTTGCAGCGAAGATCAAACCTGGAACTTGAAATGCCCATCCTCTTTGGCTAAATTCCAGCACTGAACACATACCTTTTCATTCTGACTTGGGGGGAAAAACGCCACACCCTTTTATATTCATTTCAGCCTGTCCCCTTTCCACTGAATGCTAATGAAATTCAGCACTTTTAAAAAAACGAATTTAGATGATCCAGAACTGTGGAAATAGAAGTGAAGAACCTTCCCTTGTAGGCTTGCCGTGTAATTGCTTGCGGTAACAGTGCTCATTTGCTCAGCTGAGCCAATATGAGCATCGCTTTAGGAGAGGTGGGCATGCTTACAACAAAGGCACAGGACTTATAAACTCTCCTGGTGTTTGGGGGTGGTGTGTTCAGCTCGCAGAAGCCTTGGCCAACGTGGACGAGCAATGGTAAAGAATTAGTGGGAGTTGTCCTCTGAAACATCTGGAGGATCAAACCTTTCTTGTCCTAGAACACCTTCACTGTCTGCCTCCAGTGAGAATAGATGCTCCATCTCAACAGATCCATGTTAATGCTTGGTTAAACAATTCAAGGCCACGTTATGACTGCTCAGGAGTGTGTTGAAAATACATTGGCCAGCTCTAGTTCCGATCCATCTCAAGAGTGTTGAAAATGTATTGTGTGCCATTTTGGAAAACCAATATCTATATTTGCTGTTTTTTAAAATTGCCGTGGTTGCCTTTTGTATTAAAATTAGTGACTGAATGTACAACTACTATGTATGTTTCTCATTAAAGGTATCCTTAATGCATATAGCATTGTAAATAAGAACAAGCATTGTAAATAAAAACAAACAGTATATATGATAATTATAACCTGATAGAAGGAAACTATGATATATATAAATTACCAAAGACATGCTTTGTATTTCAGATCAATTCTGAATATTTGCCATTTGTCAAGCATATTTTGCAGAATTTTTGTAACTACTTTTTATAATGCAATAAAATTTATTGAGCTCTTTCTAATGCAATACAGAACTGTGTTACTAGTACTGATCGCTAGATTCCGTTCCAGTTTGAAATATAACATGGCAGTCCCCTGGAAAAATTGTAATTTTTGCAAGGCTATTTGCCTTTCAGAAGCATTGATTTCTTGTAGGCACTTCTTGGAACTTTTATAATAGGCCTGTTAGCCACATTTTTTGGCCAGTGGAATATGGCAACCATTCCAGTGACTGCAGATGTGCAACAAATCATGTTGTCCAATCTCTGGTTGGCAGGAAACAAGACGAATAAGAATGAGTGCTGAAAATGAAATGACTTTGGCTGTTGGCTCAGCTCTTGAAGATGGCCAGTTACAGAGAGCTTGAATCATTCAGACAGGCTGTTTAAAGCAGAGGTGGAACCTTACTGCCCCACCCACTCTCAAGATGTTTTAGACTGCAGATGGGATTGTAAAAAAAAGGGAAGTTGCCAAGAATTCTCCCTTCCCTATCTCAAGTGGTGATGGGTCAGCTGCTCCACTGATAGAACTTGGATCAAGACTAGAGATGGACATGAATTAAAACATGAATTGCAAAATTTGTCAAAAATAACTAATTTGTTGAGTCATATTCATCAGAAGTGATGGCCCCCAATGAATATGAATCAACGGATTTTTAGCAGTTTTTTATATATTTTTTGAATTTGTCGAGCTATAAAATGCCTCCCCCAGCACCTAGAGACACCAGAACTGCAGAGAAGCTTCCCCTACAATCCCTCCAAATTTGGTGAAGATTAGGGTTTGGACATCTGAGTTAGACATCCACAAATGCCCCCCCCCCAGGAAAGTGTCCTTTAGCACAGTGGTCCCCAACCTTGGGCCTCCAGATGTTCTTGGACTTCCACTCCCAGAAATCCTGGCCAGCACAGGTGGTGGTGAAGGCTTCTGGGAGTTGTAGTTCAAGAACATCTGGAGACCCAAGGTTGGGGACCACTGCTTTAGCAGAAGGAAATTCCATCACTGCCGCAAGCAAGCTGCTAAAGGGCACTTTACTGGGGGGGGGACCCCCTTTGTGGGTGTACAACTCTGATGTCCATAACCCAAACTTCACCAAATCTGCAGGGCTTGCAGAGGAGAGTCAGGCGAATCTTCTCGGTAATTTTGGTTTGTCTAGGTGCCTGAGGAGCTGTTTTATAGGATTTTAAATTCAAGATGAAGCAACAAATCAGTTTGTTGGGGGGAAATGTTTTTCATGGTTCATTGTCCTTGATGAATTACGAATCACAACAAATTGCCTCACACACACACCCCAATTCATACCCATCTTTAATCAAGACCATACATGTGTACAGCAGAAATACACAATTTCCTGCTTTACTATTTCCTGAATTTTCATCAGGAAATAAGGTTATTGTTTCACCAAATAAATACAGGGGCAGGGATTTAAGATTCACAGACCTGTGGCACGAATTATATACTCCATCAAGGCACAGTTTATGGAGACAGAATATTAGTAGAAAACTGAGAATTGGATAAAGGGGTAAGGTGAATATAAATTTCCTTTATTTACAACATTTTCTCTCCATGCACACAAATCTATTTAAGCCTGAGATAGGCAGATGAAGTTATACCTAACCAGTTACCAACCAGTAGCAAGTTAATTTGCACGTGAAGACAAGTTCTGTGAGAATAAACACATCCTCTTTTACAATTTATTTATTTATATGCTTCTCACACTGGGTGGCTTACAACAATTTAAATATAGTAAAAAGATAAAATAATAAAAATACAATTAAAAATACAGTGCTCTAAAAATTGCCATGGGGACCCACAGTTGATATTATTTCAATTAAAAACCTGGAACAGGAAAGTTTTGACCTGGCACCGAAATGTCATCAGCGTCGGCGCCAGACGAATCTCAGTCGGGAGGGCATTCTATAGTCTGGGCGCAGCTGCCAAGAAGGCCCTTTGTCTACAAGCCATCCCTCTTGCCTCCTTGAGGGACGGCTCTTTCAAAAGGGCCCCCTGGCTAGATCTTAACTGCTGGGTAGGTTCATATGGAAGGAGGCGGTCCTTCAGTTACCCAGGGCCCAAGCCATTTAGGGCTTTATATGTCAAAACAAGCACTTTTAATTGGGCCCAGGCAGCAACTAGTAACCAATGTAATTTAAACAGAATCAGCCTGATGTGTTTCCTAGCGGCCCCACCACTCACCAGCTACACAGCTTGATTCTGAACCAGTTGCAGTCACCAGACCATCTTCAGAGGCAGCCCCACATACAGCACTTTGCAGTAATCTATACAGGATGTTACCAGTGCATGTGTAACTGTCATGAGACTCTGCTCCTCCAGGTAGGGCCATAGCTGGTATAATTTCTGCAGCTGAAGGAAGGCGCCCCTGGCCACTGAGTCCACCTGGGCTTCCAGAGTTAGACTGGGGTCCAGGAGCACCTACAGGCTGCGGACCCTGTCCCTTAGGGGGGGTGCAACCCCATTCAGGGCAGGGAAAATGGCCCTCCAGCCTGTCCAGTGAAGCACCCACTAACAGCACTTCCATCTTGTCTGGACTGAGTTTCAATTTATTAACCCTCATCCAGGCCATTATCAGGTCCAGACACGAGTTCAGCACAGAAACGCCTCACCTGGATTGGTGGAAAATGAGATGTAGAGCATATTGCTGACTCCTCAGCCCAAACCTCCTGATGGTCTCAGAGCAATTGTCCCCCAGCACCACTTAAAGAGCTTTGCTTCTAATTATGTGTTAACTGTAGTTTGGCCCAGAAAAGAAATGATTGCCAGCTTCTTGATAGTAAGTAGTGGTGATATGGACCTTAAACCAGGCTAATCTGCTCATTGGCTTCTCCTTATCTTTTTCCTTTGATAAAGCCTCTGTATTAGCAGTAGGAGGCATCTGCTTGTTACTACTCTGGCAGCCATAGTTCACCAACCACACTTCAGAGAAGTTACTTTTTGGACAACAACTTCCAGAATCCATCAGTCAGCATGAGCATTGTGGGTTGCCCTGAAATAGCCAACATGACAGCAAATGCAAATCATGCAGTCCACAGTGTGACACAACTGTAGTTATATTCCAATGATAGAATCAAAAGGCTTTTGTTGGCATGATGGATTCTGGAAGGAATGCTATAGGTGGTAGTTTAAACACGTCTGCAGTGATTATTCATCCTGTGGATGCTGTACTCGTCTAGAAATTTTAAAACAAAGAGGCTGAAAATCAACTAGCTGGGAGAGAGAATGCAGTGAACTCAAACAACCTTTATTCTGTCTCTCGTGCTCATTATGAAACTAATGGGCTATTAACCCAACATTTGTAACAGTATAGATCTGGATGTAGTCCTAAAAGACTTTGAACTCTGGAGGGAGAGGCCTGAAATCTCCTTTTCAGAAACTAGCTGAGATCCTAAGTCCTGCTGCTAAAACAAGTAATGCTGCTGGAACAGCAGGACGGTGAACAGGGCACCTTTTAGGGTGGAAAGTAACTACAGTATTGCAGAAGCGTAATGAAGCAAGGGGAAGAGTCCAGACTTCTTGGTCCTCTTGCTGATCAGGGGATGTTGGCTTCCTATGGATCTTTCTTTCTGGTAAATTCCCAGGAGGGAGGAAAGTTACCAAAGTGAAGTAACAGCTTCTTGTTGTAATCCCGGCTCAAGTTCTCTCTCTTTTTTTGCAAATTATACTGAATTCACTGGTGCTATATTGAAAGATGCCACCACATATATTGTTTCGGCTGCACCACATCAACATAGCTGCTATGTGTTACATATATTAAATTGTAGCAAGCTATCTTTGGGTTACTGTTACATAAATTTCCTAGGAATTGTACTAATCACAAGCAACCAAGACTCTTGTGGCACTTTAAGGACTTTACCCGTTTCATTTGGCATTAAATGTTGTGAAGTAGCCCAGTTCAAGGACACAGAGTACAGCCCAAGTAGGCAGACATACATACATCCTACTTCCCATATGCGTGTGTTCCTGTGTGTCGACTGAGGTTGTATTCAAGAGTTGGCTGCACCCCTAAGGAAGTGGGAGTCAATCCACAAGGATTTACACCAAATGAAACTTATTAGTTTTTAAAGCACTATGAGAGACAATTGTTTTTGCTGCAGCTGAATGATACAACTTTC